ATTACAATATACCACTATGCAACACGAGATTTGTTTGATGTACATCAAAGGATCAAACTAGTTTTTTTGTCTTGTCCACAAGGTATCGCACATAGAATCTTCCCTTTCGCCAAGTCATGTTCAAGGGGTGCAGAGAGCGAAAGTGATCGTGTAACTCCTAGAGTATTGAGGATGTCCCTACCTTTTGCAGTTTGTATCTGTTAGGAAGAAGAGAAATGGCCTGATTTGTGTTGTCATGTCTTTAGACAAGGTTCTTACCCTAATTGCTCTGGATGACATGCAACATGTTTCCCATATGTTCTTCATTGAGGTTATGGGACGTTGATGAGACACAAACAATTATCTTATTGTTTAACCGCCTCAGATGCATTGATCAGTTGGAATTTTTCACAATCGATCATTCATGTTATGCTTAATAAAGATGCCAATTGCTGAAAAAAAATCATTCCTATGTAATTGAAAATATTAGGAAAGTAAACACACAGTTGATTATGAAATCAATTAACAACATGGAAAAGCCTATCCAATTTCAAATGATATTTGATAATGGATTTTAACCCATTTCCCATCACTGATGTATATATAGCTATAGTCATTAATTTCACAAGGTTATCACCTTCTCTGTCCTGATATTGTTATCACAGAAAAATTACATAATGACTTACGATAATTTCCTGTGATGATGCTAATCCGAAAGGTTGTATTGCTTAAGTTCAAAGCAATGAAATTTAAAGGTCAAGTCATTCTTAAGTCTAAACAAGGAAAATTGAAATTAAAATGACTGAATATTTTACAAATCTTAAATGATATATACATTAAGGGATGAGAGATGAAACACTCTAATGATAAATTGGGCTGTTTTGTTTAAAGTTCCTGAAAAGTGTATGTTCTAATGATATACCTATCCATAATTACAAAATAAATCCCATACATAAAGGTATTAATTAAAGATCTAAGCTTGCTTTCCCATTCCATATGTAAAACAAGCATTTTATTGAACATTGAATAAAAATATTCCTTGCAAGATAATCCTTCATCATTATATATCATTACACTTATACCTAGAGGATAATTAAATAATTCAAATCCTCGTTAATATGGAAAATGATAAAAAGTGCTTTAGTTCCACTTACTCTCGATACACCTTGCTAGAATGCATTTTATGTCAAAATTTCATGTTACATTGAAGATATAGTACTGATTCATTAAAATCAATTGTTTTGAGATATAATTGATGATTAGGTTATTACAGATGTATACTTTATACAAGAACTGTTAACAGGGGGTTTACTTTGTCAGTCAATCAGACTGAAGTCTTTCTTTTTATTTTGATATGAAAATATGCTTGGTGGGAGATCAACTTGTAGTGGATTTAATTACTGATAGAGTACAAGTATTCACGAAGGATTTCTATCCCAGAGGTGTATTTCTATGAGAAATAGAACTTACGGTTGTGTATCTTCACTAATTGTCTGCCTCGGAGCTGTATTCCATGTTCTGTAGACTTTAGCTTGTATGTGCAGCATTCTCCACACCTTATTTTTTCATCACCTTGTGGTACTCTCTGTTCCCGAGTAGATTGATGGCAAAAACACATGGAGAGATGATGCTTAAGGCATTATTTCACTGTAGAACCTCGGAATTTGTGATGAGGAAATAATATATATACCATTTATTCTAACTTTCTGATATACCATGGTTAGTTCATTGTAATAATCTTTGAAAATAGAGATTTAAATGCAGGATTTCAGATGTAAGTATGGTATGACCTTTTTATCATCAGCATCAATCGCAGAGATCTAGAACCAAGTTGTCTGATCGGATTAACGTGTTATATATAATTGTATATATATTATAATAGGCTTTCAAGTCACAAATTTGAAAAAAATGCACAAGCAAGATATAGATGCTTCTTACATTAATTGTGCAAGACTGAAGTGGGAAGTAAATGGAGACAAGCTATTAAATAAGGTCAAAATTTCAACTTAACCAGTTTGTGTAAGAACAATTCAATGAGGCCAAATAGCTAGTTAACTTTACTAGTTTTGTGTAAGAACTATTAAATTAGGCCAAATCACAACTGAACCAGTTTGTGTAAGAACAATTGAATTACGCCAAATCACAACTGAACCAGTTTATGTAAGAACAATTGAATTACGCCAAATCACAACTTAATAAGACTAAATCAAATTCAATGTCAATTAAACCTTACTTATTAGTGTAATAATGATAAGATAGGTTTATTCCACTTTTGACCAGTTAGTGTAAATGTGTATTAGGTATATTATTTGTATTACACCACATGTCTTTGGGTGGTGGTTATCCTCTTGTCTGTGGTCAGTGTATGGTTATGGAAGGTAAACATGATAGAGGTCATTCTAGTTATACTATATCAGGGAAGCAGATCAAAGGATACGTGATCTGGGCATTCATTACAGTTTCTGTAATTGTTAGAATTCTCTTCGTATTATACTCCTGATATTTGGATTTTGAAATATTAATGGTCTTACTGGTATCTGTTAGAAATAAACAATAAGATTGCACAAAGTACATTTTGATCAGGAGAAGGTTGACAAAATTCTTTAAAGCTTTTAATGGGAAGCTGTGGCTATTGAAATTCAAGATGAAAATGATATTAATGCATCGTTGAGCATGAAGTTACTCACATTGACACTGAATTATCCAACAGATGAACTATACCTAGGTGAGTAGGGCTGGTTCTGAGGTGAGATACAGGATTCTGTCAGAGAACACTACCCAAATAAGTGTGTCCATCAGGGATATGGTAACATGCTGTGAGTGTTGTATTCATTTAACGTCTTCACCAACAAACAAGGTCAATTCTGCATGATTAATCAAGGAATCTAAATACCAGCTCTTGCAAATGAATATGTGCAAAAAGAGGACAATAAAAATTCTTAGTGGAATGTATCAGATGTATATCATGTGTTGAAGTGTCTTGTCAGGTATACTGGATTGTGTCAGCTTCAATATAGACCTTATATACATGTTTATTTTACAACACACGCACAAAAAATATCACTGTCAAGTAAAGAGTTTATTTTACAACACATGCTATAAAATATTTCTGTGGAGTATGGAGTTTATCATATAACACATGGTGTAAGTGATGCATTTTTTCTTGTTATAGCTATTGGAAATGGTAAAGTATAGGTAAGACTATTGTGATAGGCTTAGGATGATAATTTGTCTTAAAAACCCAGAGTTCAGTCATATGGTGTTTTTGCTTTCTTAATATATCTAACTTTGTAACTCAAGTTTTCACTGTCTAACATGATGGGATTCTGCCAATTATAGACAAGTTAATGAGACAAAGTTTCTATAAATAAGATATGTTTTTGCATGTAGAACTATTTTTTCTAAACCTTTTCAGAAAAAATAAAGTTTGTTTTATACTCTAAATGTATTTCATATGTGTAAGTATTTACTTTGGCAGTCAGTTTTTCTAAGTGATTATAGAAGACTTTTCAATTTAAATTCAGGGATATACTGTATCATTGCAAATATATGAGTGGTTGTTGGAGGATCTTTAAATATACTTGTAAGTGATCAGTTTAGTTTGAAAAGCATTAGTGTAAGGCTGGTATAAGCAATATGTAACAAATTGAATTTTGACCTCTGATCGTGAGCCTCTTCAGAGGTCACGGTCAAGTGTACATGTGCTATATACCCATGAAGATACAAAGGCTGGAAATGTTGTGAAAGTGTTTAACGCTCCCTAGTATAAACCAGACCCCCTAGTATCTACAGCAAGCCAAATCAAATTACTGTGTTGTAGGTACTATGTATATATTGTTAGAGTAGTATATAGCTTACATAAGTTTATGTGTAGATCCAGTTAAACATATCTAGAACACCTACACTATGCATGTGTATTTTTGTGAAGATATTAAAATTGACATCATAATAGTAATTAGAAATTATTTACAATGCCATATATACGTAATATATGGACTTCTGTGTTTTACTTTGCATTTCAATGAAAATGTTCAGCAAGATCTGCTTTAGATTTGATCAAATATTTTGTTTTGCTGTGAAAGGTAAAATGATTTGGGTGTTACATCAGTGACCATGGACCATAAGAAATCATGTTCAGCACTGTTTCTCTAGTAACTCTGTGTACTGTGGCAACCATATTAGTTGTTTTAGAACATTGAGTAAGACTGGTAGTTAGGTGATGTAGTTGTAACATACAGGTTCAATTGCTTGATCAGACAATAAAAAGTATGGGATTACCCATGTGACAATTGGATCACCCATGTAACAATGGGATCACCCATGTAACAATGGGATCGTACAATGGGACCACCCATGTGACAATGGGATTACCCATGTAACAATGGGATCATACAATGGGATAACCCATGTAATAATTGGATCACCCATGTGACAATGGGATCACCCATGTGACAATGGGATCATACAATGGGATCACCCATGTAATAATTGGTCACTCATGTGACAATGGGATCACCCATGTCGTCAACAAATATTGTCTGGAGAACTCCCCCTGAACTGTGACTGAACTGTGTACTTTTTATATCCAAACACTTAAATAATATAACATGCTGTCTGCTTCCTTGTTATCAATTACACTGCATTGCATTTTTTCCTTCAGATGAGGTGATATAATGACAGGAGCATGGTGGAGGCTAGTGAAGAGCCGAACTGTGGTCACTGTACCAGGAGACCGATGACCACTGCTTGACTGAGGGGTTCTCTGGACCTGACAGACCATGTAGTGGGATTTACTTGTTGATAAGATATTTCATGGTGAATTTCATTATTATATTTTTGGAAGCGATTGGAAGCTATGTTTTGTTTGTGAAACTGTGAATCTTTCCTTTTTGTACATAGTGTGTATAATTTTTCTGTGGTATTTATCATTGTTGTGTACAGTGCAGGAGATGCTGATTTTTGAAATTCAAGGAATGTTACCAGTACAGTGTTAAAAATATCCTTATATGTTGTAAATAAAGATGGAAGATCCAACTATGAATGAACAGAACGAGGCAAACATTGATCTGGAAACAGAACAAAATGACGCCACTACAAATCCAGATTTAGATCCAGAATCTGACCAGGAACAAGAGCTGAAAGATACAGAAAATAAATTCAGTTCGCAGGACCAGCAGGATTCATTAGAAGAAAAACCAAGATGTTCTGTCTCACCAAAGGTAGCCAGGCCTAAACTTCCAGAATTTACAGGTAATGGACGAATTTCTAGTCATGCTCGTTCAAAAACTGATCCAGGACGGGGAGGAGAAATCAAAGCAATCATTGATAAAACTATGGAAGACATTAAAGAATTAAACAAAGTGGACTTCACCATCTATAACCGTCCAAAAGTCTTCCCTAAACCTTTACATCAAAGATCTCAGTCCACTCATGCTTCCCCTCGTGCTTCCCCTACCCCAAGTTCTCCTTCTGTGGAGGAAAAAGTCTCCGCCCTCAACAGGAACCGTAGTCGTAGTCTTAAAGTGCTCACAGATATGTTAAAAAGTGGACGAGGGGGTAATGATTTCAGATCGGGCAACATTCCAGATGTGGGAAATGAAGTCAAATCCAACAGTGACAGTCAGTTGCTTCCTCGTCGTCAGGGTAAGGAATCAAGTGTTGAACGTCGGTCAAGCTCGGATGGGCAGCTGCAGGCTAATCGTCAGGATTCTTCAGGGGATGTAACTGAAGAGTCTGGAGTTCATGATGCTTGTACACCAGACATTTATTCCCATCACAGGGAACATGGACAGTCAGATAGACACTATAGTGATCGCAGTGAACACAAACATAAAGGAAGCACAATTCCTCGTTACAGGCAAGAGTCAGGTAAATTCAGGCGTGCTAAAAGTGAAGTGCGTAAAGCTGCACCCATATCTGATGATGAAGGACTGGATGTAACATCAGATCATGAATCTGGAGGTCACGGTTTAGTGAAACCTTTTCATTCAATTGACACGAACTCAAAGTTTTTCACATTATATAAGACAAATCCTTCCACGAGAAGACCTCATTTTAGTGGTTTTGGAAAGCCTCGCTATAAATCAAATTCTCAGGGCGAAGAGCAGGCAACTAGGTCAGATGATCAGATTGGTTCAGCCAATAGGAGATTCACTCGCCTTGAACTTACACCCCTCTCCAGCAAGAACACTAAAAGTCGAATTTCAACCCTCAGACATGTAACTCATCCTCCGCAGTCACAGACAACATTCCGAGAGGGCGGAACAATGGACTCAAATGGGTTTGGCACGCTTCTGAAGTCTCCAAGCACAGAGAGTCCTCCACCTTTCCCTGGAGAGGTGGAAAAAACAAGTGACCTGTCATTGACTGACAGTCAAACAGGCCAGAGTGACAGCATGGACGAAGCATCCTATGGTGAGCAGGATGAGCAGAGCGAGACTCGGACAGAATCCTGTGATAATGCCAGTGACGTTGACACAATCAAACCAACAGAGAAAAAAGGGAATGGAAAATCGTTAAAACAGAAATCCAAAAGTGATCCAAGTTCTGATAAAAGTCAGTCTGTTGATCAGTCAGAACTGCCTCAATTGATTTCTGTGTCTCAGAGTACTCCTCATTTGTCAACCGATGGTAGCCAGGAAACAGAGGAGGAGGTAACTCCAGAGGCAACCCTGGACACAGACAGTCAGGAGGAAGACAAACGCCAGCGGACCCTGAGTTCTCACGAATCCTTTGATGATGGAATGCCGCTACAGTTTGATACCACATGTAGTACAGGAGGAAGTGGCAGTCCCATGTCTTATTCTATAGAGGAGGAGGGATTGCTGTCCCCAGATAGTGATGGCCCTCCCCCTAGTTTTGTCTCAGTAATGTATGGGGTGACTTCTGCCCCGTCCACACCTGTGAATCAGTCCCCAACAAACACGTTGGAGCGTACAAACTATCTCAACGTTCCTACTAATGTCACAGTCACCAGCACAGCAAACAATAAGAAGTCTATTGGGCGAAGTGCAAGTTCTGCCAGTGTAATGAATAGAGAACGCAAGTTCTCCGGAGGTAGCAAAGACAAAGACAGTATACGCAAACACAGTGTCACCATAGGTGATGATGCAGCAGCCACGTCTAAACCAGAGTTGTTCCCCTTGGGGGACAGTAGTGGCATGCAGGCACTAAGCATGCCCAGTATGACAACGACATGGAAGAAGGAACGAGGACCCTCTATGTCTCCAGAAAGGGACCAGTCTCTAGTCAAGGTAAGCCAAACCTGTCATGTGATCACACCTCTGATCCAATATTATAACGACTATATGCTTCTTAATGTTTTTGTTATGATGATTATTTTGGAGATATCAAAAATATGCAATGTGTAAAAACTTCCAATGTTTTCATGGCAGAAATAATTACCATAATTTTAGTATGCAAGTACAGCACCTGCAACCATCTTTGTAGCCCAAAAACAAAAGATTAAAAAGTCTTGCCCTCCCTACAGTCCCATGAGCCAAAATAACAGAGACATATAGGGAGATCTTCTTCTTTCTCTTCTGGCACTCCCTGATGAGTTATGTTTTACAGGTGAGTTCTGTGCTTTTTTTGTTTTTCAGTCACTCCGAGTTGGTGTTGTAGGAAGGGTATCAGAGTTGGTGTTGTAGGAAGGGTATCAGAGTTGGTGTTGTAGGAAGGGTATCAGAGTTGGTGTTGTAGGAAGGGTATCAGAGTTGGTGTTGTAGGAAGGGTATCAGAGTTGGTGTTGTAGGAAGGGTATCAGAGTTGGTGTTGTAGGAAGGGTATCAGAGTTGGTGTTGTAGGAAGGGTATCAGAGTTGATGTTGTAGGAAGGGTATCAGAGTTGGTGTTGTAGGAAGGGTATCAGAGTTGGTGTTTTATGAAGGGTATCTGAGTTGGTGTTGTAGGAAGGGAACCAGAGTTGGTGTTGTAGGAAGGGAACCAGAGTTGATGTTGTAGGAAGGGTATCAGAGTTGGTGTTGTAGGAAGGGAACCAGAGTTGGTGTTGTAGGAAGGGAACCAGAGTTGGTGTTGTAGGAAGGGTATCAGAGTTGGTGTTGTAGGAAGGGTATCAGAGTTGGTGTTGTAGGAAGGGAATCAGAGTTGGTGTTGTAGGAAGGGAACCAGAGTTGGTGTTGTAGGAAGGGAACCAGAGTTGGTGTTGTAGGAAGGGTATCAGAGTTGGTGTTGTAGGAAGGGAACCAGAGTTGGTGTTGTAGGAAGGGTATCAGAGTTGATTCTGTAGGAAGGGAACCAGAGTTGGTGTTGTAGGAAGGGAACCAGAGTTGGTGTTGTAGGAAGGGTATCAGAGTTGGTGTTGTAGGAAGGGAACCAGAGTTGGTGTTGTAGGAAGGGAATCAGAGTTGGTGTTGTGGGAAGGGTATCAGAGTTGGTGTTGTAGGAAGGGAACCAGAGTTGGTGTTGTAGGAAGGGAACCAGAGTTGGTGTTGTAGGAAGGGTATCAGAGTTGGTGTTTTATGAAGGGTATCTGAGTTGGTGTTGTAGGAAGGGAATCAGAGTTGGTGTTGTAGGAAGAGTATCAGAGTTGGTGTTGTAGGAAGGGAACCAGAGTTGGTGTTGTAGGAAGTGAATCAGAGTTGGTGTTGTAGGAAGGGAATCAGAGTTGGTGTTGTAGGAAGGGAACCAGAGTTGGCGTTGTAGGAAGGGAACCAGAGTTGGTGTTGTAGGAAGGGAACCAGAGTTGGTGTTGTAGGAAAGTTGGTGTTGTAGGAAGGGAATCAGAGTTGGTGTTGTAGGAAGGGTATCAGAGTTGGTGTTGTAGGAAGGGTATCAGAGTTGGTGTTTTATGAAGGGTATCAGAGTTGATTCTGTAGGAAGGGAACCAGAGTTGGTGTTGCTGGAAGGGAACCAGAGTTGGTGTTGTAGGAAGGGTATCAGAGTTGGTGTTTTATGAAGGGTATCTGAGTTGGTGTTTTATGAAGGGTATCAGAGTTGATTCTGTAGGAAGGGAACCAGAGTTGGTGTTGCTGGAAGGGAACCAGAGTTGGTGTTGTAGGAAGGGTATCTGAGTTGGTGTGTAGAAAGAGTACCAGATTTAAGTAAACGATGGTATTCTTAGGTTGGTTTATATTAGTACTGTACTGAAGTACTGCAGTACCACCTCAGTTTGGTAATGATGAAATCAAGGTATACATTGTATGTACCACAGTTTGGTATATTTTGGTATAATTGTAGTACCAAATTGATATAGATTAAAGTGATTTAGTAAAGATATCTCAGATTGTTTTTGGTGTTGAATTTGGTAAAGATACCATTGTAAATACGGACATACAAATGTACAAGGGCACCAGATGTGTTTATCAGTGCTAGGCCTTTACCTCTGACCCTGTGATGTACTCGACACATTGATCCAAATTGGCGGGTTTATCTGAGATGTTTACTAAACAAACAAGGTTGGGATAGACTGTTTCTGGGTTATAGTGCTGTGTCCAGGTATAGCACCCCATACTCTAGGGAGAACACATGTAACCAACTGTATTGGTCAAACCACTGTAATGTAGCTTGCTCCTTATCTCTCGCCATTGTCCAAGTTCAAGCAAAGTCAGAATTGATCAGGGGAATTTAATACTCTTTATATTGAACTATATAGAGTTAGGAGAAATATAGATTGAATTATCCCTGTCAATCATTGAAAACCAGATTTTCAATTTTAACTGTACTAGCAGATATCAGTAAATTCCTGATTTAACTAACCTTGAATAAAACCCACATTAATTTACTCTTATTCAAGGTTAAGAAATTTAAAGTTAAGCAAAATCAATGGTTAAATATATTTGTATTGAGTTAGCTTACAATATATAGGTCAAATTCTGATCCAACATGCAATGATATGTTTGCAGACGTGTAGTGTCTAGTAATCTTCCTTTAAATGGCTGTTTTAAATAGCCATGGTCATGTTCAAGTACATTAACAGCCTAACAAGGCTGTTAAGATGCATCAATTGAATGACCTTGACCCATTTAAAGATCTCGGGTCAAATGGACTGGATTATTTCAATGGTCTACAATTTAGAGCTGAAAGATGGTCTTATAATGTTATTATATTTATAAAAGGGGACATTGCAGGGTCAAATTTGGACCATAGCTGGGCACTGTAACACAGCTTAGGCATATTATAGTTAAGGTATAAAGGTGATGTGACTTTAAGTGGATTCCACTGTACTGTGAAGTAAAAGTACTGAACACACCAGTAGCGGCAACAGCTATATCTACAAGTTGTTGAGGTTTCTTGTCCCAATATTTACTGTCTAGTTTGTTTATAATTCACCCATCTTGTCCCATTGATCCTGTTGCATTTTAGTACTATTTGCTTTTGACATGGGGACAACTTTTGCAAAGGAGAGTCACTGCCAGTTATCAAATACAACGACATTTAATGATTAGGTAGACTAAGTTGTTAGGTTTAATTAAGATGACCCTGGGTTCAAATCCTGTTCTTTACCACATTTTTTTTACATAATAATAAAATTATTAACTGTAAACCAATATAAAATGTTAACTGTGTTCTGTACAGCCAAGATATATGACATTGGTTTTTCAGTAATTACAAATGTATGTGTGAAAAAATGTGGAATACATATTTTTAATGAGGGAGAATTTGAAAGTAGATTTTTTATAATGTACTTTAGGGAATATATATAGAACTTTAACTTAAGTCTGAAGAGCTTAGATTATTGAAACTATTATTATCAAGTGCAGAATTATGCCTGTGTACAGGAACCTGTTCATATCCTTATGGAATATATGCTTTTTAAGCTTAATGATATGTTTTACATTAATACTACACACATATGGTAATATTCCAAAGTGTCCTTCGTTTTGAATTCAAAGCATCATTTTCCATTGAGGATTAGGAATCGTAAAATATACATGAGGAAATGGTAGTGGGGTTAGCAATAATGGAACAAAACCATATTTGGATATCAAAATCAATAAATGTAAAAATTTAACAAAGAATAATTTACTTGGCAACAGTGGAGGAGGAGATCATATTTGAAGGTACAGTGTATTAGGTTGTGGGAGGATGAGACCAGACAGGATTAAGTATAAATTGGGACATTATACCCTTGTGCTATCTTAAATCTATTGCTACCCATGTTTTAAGGACAGCTGAATGTCGTATAATGAGTTTTGTATATTGTTGACCATTTCAGCAGTAAGCTTTATCCTCCATGTAAGGATTTCTCCACATAGCCAAGGTGTTTATACATGTTTGTCAGAAAGGATTATATCTGTTGGGCCTATATAGAGGTCATTGTGTATGGACACAGAAATACATTTTTTAGCTCATTACATGGTTATGAGCTCTATTTCTTCTGGTTGGTCCTTTGTCCCTTACCTGTCCTGTAAGCTGGCTTACTTTGTAGAATATGTAGTTGTTAGTGTACTATGTCGAACTATGTACCCACAAGAGGTGTGTCATGGGACGACACCCAGTATGTGATGGTGATAGATCAAGAAGATGTAAATGCAGTTAACTTCTGCTACAAGTCACTCATGGTAAGATGGTAACAACCTACATATCCTGTACTTCTGTTTGTCGAAATAATTTCCTCAACATGGATTGATATTTTGGTCGAGTGGTGACACTATAGTTCACTATGTTTGTAATTATGTTCTGGTATAAGAAAAATAGGTTACTTCTTTCAAGCAAAAAATGGTTAGTTCTGAGCCAAAAAATGGTTACTACTTTTGAGGGAAAAAATGGTTAGTTCTGAGCCAAAAAAATGAGGAAAAATGATTAGTTCTGAGGAAAAAATTGTTAGTTCTGAGAAAAATGAGGTTGTATCTGAGGGGAAAAGTGGTTACTTCTGAGGAAAAAATGGTTACTTCTGAGGAAAAAAATGGTTGCTTCTAAGGAAAAAGGCAGTTACTTCTGAAAAAGATCCAACTAGACAGCATTTATCTACAAATGTGATCATGTATATAGCAGGATATACATGTAATTAGTTTGAATCATCGAGATGATCTCAGCTGTGATTTTGATAGTAGAATCCAGTCAAACAAGTTAGAGATCACTGTTGGGGTGGCCAAAGTTTGTGTGGAAGTTTACTGTAAGCATACGTTGAAGTACACTTTCACTTCTTGGTGTGTAATTATGAGATCAGTATGTTATTATTTGTCTATTTTTCTTTCTAAGTAGACATTCATTTGAAACTGATGCTTGTATTTGTACACATGGAATATGGTTCCTTGTATAATTGATTGCTATGCTTTCATGGGCAGGCCTGT